ATACTTAAAAATTATATAATTTTATTTGTTTATATATAATAAAAATTGATATTGGACAATATATTTATAATGTTAGTCTAACTAATTAATTAAAATATATAGCATAATAAACCACCAAACAATTTTAAAATTAAACAATCATCTCATAAATATTAATTTTGAGGGGTTTTATGACAAAAACAAATTACTTAGTGTTCATTTTGATAAGTGTTCTTTTTTAGAACACTTAATTTAGACTACAAGTTAAATTTAAGAAATAATTGTTCAACAAGTTAAATTTATTCTTAATAAGTGCTATTTTTCTGTCTTTTTAGTTTTTATTTTTTTGTTGTCATAATGAAGTGTCATTGACTTTTTTAAGTCTAATTCTAAAATTAAACTACAAAAATATTACTTAAATGAATATATTTAAAAAAATAGTCGTTGCAAAAGCACTTAAAAAATAATATTTTTTATCATAAAATTTTTGCTACAATTTTAGCCCGGGTAAGTTATAAATCCTGGCTCCGCCCCTGGTCACTAGCGCGGCTTCGTTAATTTATTATACCATAATTCATGCAGCCGTCTTGATCTTATACTGCGAACTTTACATCTGCTTCAGTGCCTCTTCTTTCTTTTCTCTTTGTGGGTGGCTACAATGTTGGCCCCCGTGGCCTGCGAGGGACAGCTAGGCCCGATCTGACTTGAAGCCCGAGCTCGACAACGGAGAGGTCGTCCCCGTTCGAGGTGTGGTGGTCTGAGTTGGTAGCCCGGTGACTTGGTCGGCATGGCTAGGGAAAGATGTCTGTATTTATACATATAAATAAAAAAGGACCGAGTTCGGCCCCTGGGTGGATTTGGCGTTTTCTGTGCTGATATGCCCAATGACGATGAGTTTTGACCGACTTGCAGCTCGGTAAGTTTGTCTTGTTGGGTTCAATTCTTAGTCGAATCATTTCGACGTCATGGTCTTCACACGTGCGAGTTCGGCAGCGGAGTTGGTATCCTAGTGGCAGTCTGGAGACCATGCTCGACGACTGGGGAGAGACTCGCAAATCATTATAGGCTTCCATTGGTCGGCTAGAAATTTGTCAGCGGTCGATCGCCGTGAACTCACTCATTTCGTGAATCTTCCCTTTCATTCCTTTATTTTTTCTTTCCTCGTCCACAACAAAAACGTAAAAAGTAAATACCCACATAAAGTAATAAGAGCACACGTATGGCCCCCGTTTCACCTGCTTGGTTTCAAAATTATTTGATTTTGGATTTTAAGATTTCTAAAATTCTTTTTTTTTTTTAAGAAGGAATTAGATCGATGATCTGGGGAGAGAGATTTGTCTTCTCCCTTTTTTTTTTTTATGAATATACTACACAAGAACATTCTTATGAAGAACAGAATAATGGAAGCAAAAGAAAAAGAAAAAGAAAAATTAAAGCAGAAGTATGGATAATCTTGTCAAAATTGACTCCGGTGAGGTGATTTTCCTGTGAGACCGTTTTTATAGTTAGGATATACACGTTTACCTTTTAAAATTTTGTCGACTCAGAGACGATGTAGAATACCGTTGATGTAGTTTGTCTGAACACCACAATCTAATGGGAAGATAGATTTGGCCTTTAATCGATTCTAATCGAGAGTTTGGACGGGACTTGATCGGACGGTGCATGGGTTTCGGCATCGGGTGCAGCGGGCAGGTCGCGGACGCTGGTCGCCGTCGGTTGAAAATTGACTCTGAGTAAATTACGGAGCCCTTCCTCTAGCGTCAAACTATTGATAAACGGATTTGATCAACGAAAATATACACCCCTATTATGTGAATAATCGGTTTTGGATTAATAGCATTTTTATTGATTTTTGGTAGATGAAGATGTATCTTTTTTTCTTTAGTTTTTGTCGTAGGAGATGATGAATAGTGTCTCCATCCTCCTCCCTTTCTTTCTCTCTCCTCACTATATATATAAGGCCATCTCCAATCTTTCCACCCTTTACACTACTTTTTTCTTACATTTTTTTGCCACATCAGCATTTTTTCCATTACGCCCACTTTTTCTAAATTTCACTCCAATCCTTACACCAATTTTACACCAACAATCATATCAATATGGGACCCACCATTATACTATTTTATTTTTCCATTTTCAAATTATATCAATACAAATATAAATAAACTTAAAATAAAAAAAATAAAAAGGCTGCAGTTTACAGCTTGTGCTGCCTTGAAAAACAAAAAAAGAAAAAAAAATAAAAAAAGGCTGCAGTTTTTCAACGGAACATTTTTAACACGATAGCTAATTAGTAAGGTGGGTGTAATGGAGCGTGGGTGTCAGAATTCCACCCCCAATTGGACATGCCCTAAGGCCCTTTTAACAAGTGGGCTTATTAAACAAAAATGGAACAATAGTATTTAATGTGAGATGACATCGTGGGACTCGATCGTGACACTTGACGGCTTCGAATGACGTCTACTTTATCGGCAATTATGGCGTCTACCGAAAATAGTCTTCTCGAAATCCGGGTCGGGCTGGCCACATTTAATTCTGCTCGACTCAAACGTGGGCGATTTGGACACTTGGGCTATTTGGCCACATTTAATATATATTCACGTGTAGCATTTTTATTAGACGAGACCAAATTTAGTATCAACACAACATATATTACATTTTATCGCAAAATTATTACATGTATAACATAAATTACAAAATTACTAAATATATAAAAAATAATTAATTTAAGCATGCAAATAACTGATATCATCATGATCGTTCATTCATTAAATAATTTTATTTTAAAAATCAAATTGCCTTATAAAAAAAAAGGGACTGTACTAATAATTGTTAATGCAACTTTTTTTTTACCCCTCGAAGCGATAAAATTATTACCGCCAGCTTGGAACATGGGAATTGCAATGTGGTCCCTGTTCGTATTGTACTATGAGTTATGACTACTGTCCTACTTTCCCCAACCGGCACAGATTCGATGTGTATACCACGCGCATCAACTTCATTCCCCCAACTTCATCATAACTTTGTTGTTCTGTATGATAACTACAACCATCTCTCTATCGGCTATCATTTCTAGGAAGCTTCGGAAAAATATGATAAATAATCTTGAAAATATTATTATTATTATTATTTCTCAACTTGTGGTGGTTTAAAAGCTGACGCTTTGAAACAGTGTCGGTTTTGCTGAATTTGGATTCATTTGTCTGAAGGGCCCCTTTTTAAAGATCTTGAGATTTCGATCGTTAGTGCTCAATCATTTTAGCTTGGTGCCTTCAAAACCTTGTAAGAAGCTCGAGTGCACCCTTTTTTCCAAGCTTATCCTTAAACTTGCACAGATTCGTGTTCAGCTTTTTCGGTTCTTTCAAGATTCTGTTTAGTGAAGTGAAGTGTGTACGGTAAGCAGAGAGGGTTCTTGTGGATTTTTCGCTAGTTCTTTTTTGTTTGGTTTTTGTTGTCTTAAAGTTCTTGATAATCTTTTTCCGACAAAAGGGTGATGTGCTGATTCTGGGATTCGAGATTTTACTTTCCTGCTTTTGCTTATGTTAAAAGTTTGGATCTTTCTTACTAATTTGGAGATTTCTGAGTGTTTTTTTAGTTGTTTAGTTAATTTTGCTTTGCTATATTCCTTTACTCTCGGTGTGTGTGTGTGTGTGTGTGTGTGTGTGTGTGTATAGCAATGGCAGTGTTTTACAAATTGATCAAAACTTTGGTGTGAGTACTTATAAAAGTCACTTGAGTATGTTGCTAAATTTTTAATGTGGCAAAGGTTCAGACAAATGTAATCTGCTTCTTCTGCAGGAAATCGACACTAAGCTTTGCAATTGCCAAGTGTGGGAAGAAGTTATGATGATTAAACAGAGGATGAATAATCCAAAAATTAAGCGCAAAATTGGTAAGTACGAGATCGGGCGGACGATCGGCGAGGGCACGTTTGCGAAAGTGAAGTTTGCTAGAAATTCTGAGAATGGACACCCTGTGGCTATCAAGATTCTTGACAAGGACAAGGTCCTTAAACATAAAATGGCAGAACAGGTTAATCTTGGTACTTTTTTTTAACCTTCATAGCCTTGAAGTTGTTAAGTCTGTGGGATGGATCAACTTGTGCTATGTGAATGACTTTGAAGAGGGCCTTAAACATAAATATTGGCTATGTTTTGTTGGCTGAAAATGAATGCTTACCATCTAAATTAGACTTCAACATTTATGTTCTTGTCTTGTTATGATTTTACAGATTAGAAGGGAGATAGCCACGATGAAGTTGATAAAGCATCCCAATGTTATACAATTGCATGAGGTCTCTCTCTCTCTCTCTCTCTCTCTCTCTCTCTCTCTCTCTCTCTCTCTCTCTCTCCCTCCCTAATGTTTGGATATCTAAAAATCTTGTCTTTCTTCAGGTTATGGCGAGCAAGACCAAGATATTCATTGTTTTGGAGTTTGTCACTGGGGGAGAGCTTTTTGATAAAATTGTAAGATGCCTTTATTTTCTTTCTCCTTCTCTTTATAAATATCACGATCCCGATATGTGCGTGGTGATCTCAAAAAGGAAAAACACTGCTGTAATTAATTTTTGTTAACCTTATTTTGTGTAATCTCCATTTTAGCTATTAATTTTATCGGCACAATCATTTGTCTGAAATGAGAATGCTCATCTGTGAAGGTAAACAATGGACGAATGCGAGAAGACGAAGCAAGAAAGTACTTTCAGCAACTTATTAATGCCGTTGATTACTGTCATAGCAGGGGAGTCTTCCACAGGGACCTAAAGGTAATTGATTTGGCTTTTATCGTATTCAAGTTTAGTTTCAGAAGCTAATTCTACTTATTATAATTTTTTCTTTCATTTTTTTAAAATGAGCACAGCCTGAAAATTTACTGCTAGATGCTGCTGGAAACCTCAAAGTTTCTGATTTTGGATTAAGTGCTCTCTCCCAGCAAGTCAGGGTAAATCTCATAATCTACCTTGTCTACTAAATACATGCTTTCAGTTATGTCCATTTGCGCATTGATTGTGTAATACTACATAAAGTTCATGACTTCAAAATTATATTTCATGAATTAATTTGGCAGGGTGATGGTCTGTTGCATACTGCCTGCGGCACACCAAATTATGTTGCACCGGAGGTAAATAGTTTACCTGTTGATTATTATTATTATTATTATTTTACTTATTGATGAAATAGCCACAATTTGTAAATGTCGAAACTAACACAAAGAGGGTGCAGGGCGTTATTCAGGTAGAATCACATTATTTTTTCTTTTCGGTGTGTAGTTGAGTAAAAATCAACTGCAGTAATTTTTCGTTTTCTTGATTTTACTTTTCATTTTAATGATTTTGTTGATTATAAATTTTAAAATGAGCGTAGGTCCTTAACGATCGAGGCTATGATGGAGCACCTGCAGACCTGTGGTCCTGTGGGGTCGTACTCTTTGTATTGCTCGCAGGTTACTTGCCTTTTGATGATTCTAATCTTGTGAACTTGTATAAAAAAGTGAGCATCTTGGAAATTTACAAGTTACTAAATTTCACTTGAACTTGATATTTGAGCTAATTGTTTTTTCATGTGAACCGACTAGATTTCTTCTGCTGAATTCACTTGCCCTCCTTGGCTTCCATTTGGAGCCATGAAGTTGATTGCCCGAATCCTCGAACCAAATCCCCTTAAAGTAAGAATATGTTTCCATTCGATTTTTCGTAGTGTATAGTAACTGGCACAACATCTGTATTTCAAACTATGAACCTCCTGATCAAATTTGCTTCTATTGCACAAACTGCAACCTTTGTTTGGCCTTACTTGATAGATTGGGGGGTATATGAGTTCCTTTTTCAGTGAGATTTCTTGTAAATATTCTATTTTTATGCAGCCGCTTTGTTAACTTTAGTATATTTTCTGCTTTTTTTTTTGCAGCGCATCACTGTAGCTGAGATTTTGGCAGATGAGTGGTTTAAGAAAGACTACAAACCACCAATGTTTAATGAAAAAGAAGATACAAATTTGGATGACGTAGAAGCTGTGTTTAGAGACTCTGAGGTGCATAAATTGAGTATATGCATCAACTAATCAATTGCCATAGAAGCTGTTTTTTGGTTAACTAACTGTCTGGTATAACTCTTCACGACAGGAATATCATGTGAAGGAGAAAAAGGAGGAGCAGCCGACTGCAATGAACGCCTTTGAGTTGATTTCAATGTCGAAAGGTCTCAATCTTGAAAATCTATTTGATGCAGAACAGGTATGAGTTGATTTCCATACACATTTTTTAAATAAAATATATCATGAGCAAAATACACTTTAGATATTTAGCTGTTTCCATCAGTTGACTGCAATTTGAAATGCTGAAAAAGTTGCAAAGGTGTGTGTTTGGCCTTATTTTTCAGTCATTTTTTACTGTGAAAAAATTAAAAAAAAAATGGTGACAGGAGTTCAAGAAGGAAACGAGGTTCACGTCTAGATGCTCAGCCAATGAGATCATCTCTAAAATTGAACAAGCTGCAAAGCCGCTCGGTTTTGGCGTTCAGAAAAATAACTACAAGGTAATTACCATTTTTCTGCATTTTTTTTGTCAGATTTTTGTTTTCTTTTGTATCTTCAATCGCTTTCGGTATGAAATGAATAAATGTGTTGATAAGACTTGGCTTGTCGGGACCATTTTAAAGCTCGGTTTCTGTCATTTTTATCTACTTTTTTTTTTCCAGATGAGACTTGAGAATTTAAAAGCAGGAAGGAAAGGCAATCTTAATGTTGCTACTGAGGTATGCTGTAAGCTTGTTGATTATCATTGAACCAAATAATATAAGTTTTTGATGTATATTGTGTACTAAAAATCAGGTTTTCCAAGTTTGCCCTTCTTTGCATATGGTGGAGGTTAGAAAAGATAAGGGGGACACTTTGGAGTTCAACAAGGTACACACTTGTCTACAAAAATTAGCACTTCAATTTTGGTATTTTAGCCTAAGGCACATTTTTTATAGCTAGGTACATATAAACATCAAATGGTGGCTTGTAATAATTGAATCACACTTTTTTTCACGGTTCACTCGGAATTTGTATTATTTTGTTTGAGGTGCAGTTCTATAAGAAGCTGTCGAGCAGCCTTGAGGACGTAGTTTGGAAAACCGAAGAGGAGATGCAACAAGTGATGTAGAGATGCAGCTAAGCTCGGCTCGTCTGCCATTCTTTCGTTTGTTAGTTTGTGAGGGAAAAATGTTGTTATGCTGTAAAGCCATTTTTTCGGTCGGTTGTTTCTTGGTATGAGAATTGGAGGGGCTTTAGGGAGTTAGTTTTCTCATGAGCTGTGGTTTTGGTCACTTCCTGTAAGAGACATGAATATTAAAATCTCCTTAGTCTTGAATGAATGAGAAGTTTTCAAATTCAAATCTCCTTAGTTTCTCAAGTAATTTTGGCAGCTATTTGCTAATGCATCAATTTCTTATTTTCAAATACATGTGAATTACTTGTGATTTTTAAATCACTCACATTTCCAATATTTAGTAGTTATTTCCTTTTTTTATGCAACTTTTATGCAATCCTCACCAACATTTCCTTTTATTTTTTAATTTTAATTTTCCAGCTAACTTTAATTTACTGCTACTTAATCAAACTCAAAATAAGATGTTAGGACTTAATCCTAATTCCATAACTTTCCAATAATTCATGTCATGAGACAACAACATATACACAAAACCAGAAATGGCCTCAAAATTGTGAAGAAACCTTTAGTGTGACCTATGAGTGCTGAGTGTCCTAATACGATGCTCGAGCTTGGCCTGTGGCGAGCTCTGCACAGCCTGCTGCATTTCAAGTTGGGCCAAAACCTCGACCATTGTCGGCCGGTTTTTGGGGTCCATATGCAGGCAGCGGAAGGCAAGCAAAGATGCTGCCTGGGCACCCCTTTTCGAATACTCCCCCCTTAGCCTCGTGTCCATGATCCTCGAGAACTGCTTTCCTTCACCTAGAAACTGTAGGGCCCACTCAACAAGGGTTGCCGTGGGCCCACCAATCGTCTCGTCCCCCATGGCCCGTCTTCCAGAGAGAAGCTCCAGTAAGACCACCCCAAAGCTGTACACGTCACTCTTTGGAGTCAAGTGACCTGCATGTATTTTTCAATACAACTATAAGTAGTAAAACCATGAAGAACTTTCGTCAAGAGTTTTTCTGGACATTTTGTCAAAGAAAGATTGGTTTCTCTTGGTTTTTTCTTTCGGAAAAAACAAAACGTTGACAAAAAAATTCCGTTTCAAGATCGACAGACGATTTTGGAACATATTTGTCGAGCACTCTCTTGACTTGTCATATAAAATCTGACTCTTAATAGTTGATAAGAGACGATTTTGTCAACTTACAGATGGAAAAAGATCCATCTCCCCACCTGCAGCTATGAATTGTGTGTGTATTTTAATCATAAATTTCTAACTACATGCTTTCAACTTCTACACCAAAAATATTTTTTTTGCAGGAGACTCCATTTTTATGCTATTGACTTCTACAGCAATATTAATATGATTTTGAATAGAACCGAAAATGAAAACCTGAAGCTACGTATTCTGGGGCAGCATAACCCATCGTGCCAACCACTCTGGTCGAAACGTGTGTCCCATCCCCAATCGGCCCTTTCCTTGCAAGCCCGAAATCCGAGAGCTTTGCGTGAAACTTCTGCATAGTTCGGATGCATCAAATATGAGAGATTCGTTGCTCAAACTTCAAACATTGAGTTAAACAAAAAAAAAAAAGTATATGAAGCATACCGAATCAATTAAAATGTTGGAGGCCTTTAGGTCACGGTAGATCACATTTGCATTTAGGCTGTGTAAGAATGAAAGCCCTCGTGCAATGTCGGTTGCTATTTGCATTCGAATGGGCCACGTCATTGGATGTATTCCCTCTACAAGGACAAAAAAAAAAAAAATCATATCATATTCATGTCAAACATTCGAGCTTTTATATGGGACTTAACAAAAATTCATAGATAGCCCTTTCGAAACATATTCACGTGGACATAAATTTCAGAACTTACTTTTAAAGAGGTGGTTCTCCAAGCTACCTTTAGCCATGAACTCATAAACGAGCATTCTGTTCTTAGGCTCCGAGCAATAACCGATTAGCTTCACCAAATTCTCGTGCCGAAGCTGACCTAAGTATCTAACCTCGGTCTGTGAAGTTTGGCAGACAGACCAGCTACTTTAGAGAGTGCAATCACTTATTATTACAAGTTTGTGCAAACAAAATCCAACCTAAGAGTGGTGGTAGACTTACGAGCCATTCACGGTGACCCTGAAAGCTTTGTGATTTAACTTTTTTCACGGCCACAACGGTACCGCTTCCCGGTCTGGTAGAGGACAAGGTGGACTCATTAACCCAACCTTTGAACACAAAACCGAAACCTCCCTCGCCAATGAGGTTGTCGGGAGAGAAGTTTTTAGTCGCATTTTTAAGTTCGGTAAATGTGAACGACTTAAGGCTGCGCAAGACCGATAGATCGCCTGGTGACGCCGCCAAGAAAGCATCACCCATGGCAGCTGGATTTGTTTGCTGGTTTTTAGTATTTGGGGACTGTTTAGCATTTCCAGGAACTACTTTTGTTCCTGATAAAAATTAATATACATAGCCAAAGTGATGTAAAGTATATCAAACATTTTGCAACTAATGTATTTGTAATACATCTTATGTAAACCCAACTAAAATCTGAAGAAAAAAACAGACATTGAAAAATCTCTCTCTCTCTCTCTCTCTCTCTCTCTCTCTCAAACAAATTCAACTAACATTCAGTGCCTGGTAACATTTCTGACATATGAACTCCATTGATAATGCTAAGAAGCCAACTGTTGGCTCCGTTACGGAGCCAACTGCCAATTTGTCCCACATGGCTCCAATGTGGGACAGCCCCACATGGAGCTGTCCCATTGGTTGTTGGCTCCGTAACGGAGCCAACAGTTGGCTCCTTAGCATTACTGTGAACTCCATAGTGCATAGAATTGGACAGCAGAAAAATGCCAAATTAGAAGAAAAAAAAAAACAAGAAATTATAAATAAAAGTGAGAGTTTGAGAAGGCATACCAAAACCTTTCAGAGGATCAGACTTAGCAGGGGTTGCAAAGCAAATGCCCATATCTAAAAAAATGTCTCCTTTAGCAATTTGCAAAAAATAAAGGGTAGCAGAAAGAAAATAAGGAAAATGTCCCAAGAACTGAGAGTTGAAACAGAGGTACAGAGTGCAGTTGGAGAGAGAGATAAATAAATAGAACAAGTGTTGGGTCTTTTGGTGGCTCAATAATTTGGAAATTGGGTGGCACTATTTGGACTAAGAAAGTGGAATAATAATATTTTACTGTCTGTTCAAAGCAGGTTGTTTGAGCACAACCTCACATTAATCTTTTATTTATTTATATTATATTATTATATGTCCGTTTGAAATTCTTTTGGCATGTTCGTGTTACGTGGTGCCCTCCAAAAAAATTAGGGGGGATTGATGGGAAATGATGGACTAATGGCATAAGAGTATCACTAATACTCTAACGTTGTTGTTGTTATAAAGTAAATTTTGACAAATGTCAATAAATTAAACGGATTGTGAATTATGATGAAAAAATGTTAATTTTATAAGTACTCAATAATCCATAATAGACCTTTACATTGGATCAACGCTGAAACATGGATCAAAATTGGGAAATTGTTAGGACAACCACTAGATGTTCAAGTGCCAGGAGCTTATAGCCACTCAATATTTGGGATTGCTATTTCTAGGGTTTGAAAGATTGTTGTGGTGCGGGTGTGGTAGGGTCGTGTGCGATTGAGATTGTCTTGCCCATTATGGGGGACCAGTCTGCACGGACGACTAGGAAGGGGGAAGTGGATGATGGAGTGCTACGTAAACTTACTCAGATGTCGCTGTCGGTTAAAGAAGCTGGAGGAGTTGAAATTAAGGTCGATGATATTAAAGCCAGCGATGAAGAATGCACGCGGAGTCTATTTGACAAGATAGTAGGAGATCGACATGCGGGTCTTCTGGGGATTAAGCGCACAATGGGAGCTATCTGGAGGATGCAACATTCTATGGAAGTCAAGGAATCAGTGCCAATTTCTTTCAGTTTATATTCCTGTCCTCAGAAGATAAATTGAAGGTGGCGGCTGGGAATAACTGGATGTATGAAAACCAACACCTTATTCTAAAGGAATGGTTTCCCAACCTTCATAGCAAGCACAACTGTTTTGAGGAGATCACTTTTTGGGTCCAGGTATTGAATCTACCATTGAACTGGATGAGTACCGAGGTGGGGTTGAAAGTAGGGAAGATCTTTAACAAAGTGAAGAATGTGGTGGTATGCAAGTTGGGGGGGCGAGGTTGGGAGCTTTCTCAAAATTCTAGTGTCTATCAACATCAATGAACCAATTCCTAGATGTACCTCTATAAAGTTGGGAAATGAGAAGGTGATAGTGGCTTTCAGGTATGAAAAATTGGTGAATCTATGTTATTACTGTGGGAAGATAGATCACCTTGACAGAAACTGTAAGAAAAGGTTGGATGATATTGAGTTGAGCTGTGTGATGGAAGGACAATTCGGGGATTGGTTGAAGGCTAGTGAAACATTTGCAGGGGAGAAGTTGGCCATATGATAATTCAGGGGACAAACCTGCTCAACCTCATAGCAACGGAATTCAAGATTCGTTAGTCTCAGCCAATATTACTCCCAGTGGGAAGCAAAGTGAGCAAATTAAAAGCAATGGGCATAATGAAGCTTACCAGAGTCAACATGAAGGCCACTCAATCCAAATGGATTCTTCAGGAGAGCATGAGAAGGTGTCTATTACCACTGGGGATAACCAACTGGGCACTATGGAGTCAGATGATGATGGCTCAAAAAAACCAATGGAGGTGGAACCTTTGATGTCAGAAAGGATAAAATATCACGCTGAGGAGATTGGGGCTGGAAGTAGTTATGGCTTAAGGAAGAGGAAAAGCTCTGTATGGAAGAGCAAAGTATCTTCTGAGAGTAGATTAGGGCAAATCCCTGAAAATTATGGTGATCAGCATATGGGTGGGTCTTTGAAGAGAAGCAGATCCCTTGTGATATATGAAGAGAAACCTGATAAAGATGAAGACATTGGTTATGATAAGTGGAAGAAAGGGAATGATGGAAAGCTAGTGGTGGAGAAGGCCAGCCATAAATGGCCCCAATGTGACCAATGAAAGCTATGGTGTAGAACTGTAGAGGATTGGGTGGGCCCTCTACAGTTTTCCAGATCAAGGATTCCAGAAGAATCCACCACCCCAATATTATTTTCTTGTCCGAAACTAAAGTCCGTAGCTTTACTAAAACATTCTGTAGAAAATTGGGTTTTCATGAGAGATGGCATTTGGAGAAACCTTCTGGTACAAAAGGAGGGCTTTTAGTTTTGTTGGATACTCAAGTGGAGGTAAGGAAAATTGTGGAAAATGATTTTTGCATTCAAATGGAAGTGAGAGGGGCTGGTATTTCTGACTGATGTTGGATGATTTTTGTCTATCTCTGCACTGACAAAAGAGTAAGGTATAGACGATGGGCTTACTTGGAGGAGAACAAGGTGAGATGGGGGCAATGTTGGTTAATAGCAGGAGATTAGAATGATATAATCAGCAATGAGGAGAAA